AAAATTATCTGTATGGATGAACACTGTATCTGTGGAACACTTTCTTACTTCATATCAACATCATATTTATTTTGGTTTTTTTTGTTGCTAGGTTGCTGTCTCAATGGAAATGCCCCACATCTCTATCGCGAATGATTCATGTTTATAATTAATTGTATACGAATAACTGTTTTCAGTATCTCCCGCAGTATACGAATAACTGTTTATCTATTGATAACTGCTTTATTCAAAGATTATACATATAGTTATACTTACTTGACAATATTAGTGAAAAAATGGTTGCTGAAAATATTAGTTTGAATATATTTAACATTTTTCACCGTCTCTTCCTCGTCGGTAATCTTTCTTCCGCCTCTTATCGGAAAAATAACGTATTCGAAATATTGATTGGAGCATTTTTTTAGCTAAAGCAATATCAATGAGTTTTCTTTATCTTGGAGATAAAACTACGGGTGGATTAGTTTAAAATTTTAACAAGTCATTTCTAAACTCGTTGAAACGAGATTTAATAAAAATGAAATGCATTTATATAACGTTTCACTTTGCTATATGCTTAATGCCGTAACAATGTATACTTCAAACTTCTTTTACGTTTTCACTTTGAATTAATTTTGAATTTTTGGAGGGAAAATTCATGTTTAACTTTTTGCAAGCTTTCAAGCAGATGTGATCACGTATTCTTAAGCAACCGAGATCCAGGGATCGCTGTCAATTTAAATTAAGGGACAGCATCGGATTTATCAGTCGCAAGGAATTTCCTCTACTAAATCTAATTTGACAAAATACGTATATTGCTTTTTATTGAGTCGCGGACTGCAGGAATTTGATAACGTATGAGTAAAAAACATCTGTTTTTCTGGTTCCGTCCCTACCTCTCATTTTCCTACACTTTGTAATGAGACGTTATTGGGTTGCATTCATATAAGTTCTGTATTTATATATATATTATATGCTTATTTTTCTGTTTTAACTATCAATTTAATTGAAATAAAAAATGTATGTGAAGAAATTATAAAAAAGAATTAATGCTTAGAATTTAAGTTAATAGTCACATGACCTATTATTTTGCCGAAACCAATAACTCACTCAACCAACAAGAATAACAATTGATCAGATGCATGCTGCTCTCGTTGAATTGATAATTAATATATTATTTATTAATGTCTACCTCATGCATTAATTTGGTTCTACAGTCATATTTGACTATGCTCACCATTCTTTTTGGGTAAACTTCAAATAATGACCTTTGTGCTCCGGATGGCCACATAATGTTTCAAGCCATTGTAAATTTCATTTGCTATTGTAATAACTATTAATTTGTTTTCGTCCTGTATACATGACATATTTGCCACTGAACGTTTACAACCAATCAGTCCTAGGTTAAACCGACCTGAATGCATCACATGACCAGATTTGTATTTGTCATGAACTTCACTGCGACTGCTTATTTTGGAACAGGAACTGCTCACCCTCCCGCAGCACCTTGTATGAAACCTGTTTTATTCGCTGGGGTTCATGCTGCTAAATCTTCACTTCAGTTTTCTGCGAATTTTTATACGATTAAAAGCCAAGAACATGAACTCGACGATGATTTTATAATAAGTGACTCAATTTTTTAAAATAGTTCTGAAAAAAATTGCTTGTGCATTAGCTTTCTGAACAGAAGATATCTCTCCGAGAGGAAATTATTTTTAAAAATATAAATATAATGAGATATGGTATGATTGAAATGAAACAGCTATCTATCAGAGACCAAAGATGGATGTCAGCAATTATAGGTAATTAGGTTACCGTATGGCCTTCATCAATGAGCAAATCCCATATAGTAAGCTATAAAATGTACTGGTATTAAAAAATATGAAACAATTTAAAAAAAAGAAAAAAGAAAACCAATGGTGATGTATGCTAACCTATATAGTTGTTAAATTCTGTAGTTGTTAACTTCTATGCCATTTGGTCTCTGGTGGAGAGGTGTCTCATTGACAATCATACCACATTTTCTTATTTTTATATAAAGCAACAAACTTAAACCGAATATTACAGACAGCAACCAACGAAAACCACTGAAATACATTCCCTTGTGAAACGGAAATTTCTGAAATGCGTATATATGATTTATTTATAGATTGAGCTCCCTCAGGTAAATTTCCATAGTACAATTAGAGCATTCATGATTACACTAGTTGTTCCGTTTTAAAAAATTCTATGAAAGTATTTTCAAATTAGTTTTTTCTGGACTTATAATTCCACAAAAAATTTGAATCGGAAAATAACACACATGAAACTAATATTTAAAAAATAGAATTGTTGGCGGTATATTAAATTGAGATATAAGTCAATACATTAGAATTCTTTACAAGTTTGATTTGTACGTTGTTTCAGATAGATTAAGCGTATTTCTGGTTGTCTATGACGCTGCTGTATATAATCTACGATGGAGTACCGTGACTAATATTAGAGGTTAAAAAGAAGGCATATCATACGTTGAGGTTTCATTTCGTAACTGTATTTATTTTTTTTTTGTCACAGGATTGTTACATGTTGTTTTGTTTGCATTGCGTTATTGAAATGTTTATCCATCATACCGTTTTATTATTTTAAGTGCTTTCCCTGTACTTAATTTTTTTCTTACGTTATACTTTGATAGTCAACTGATTTGAATTTAAAGTGTGCGAGTATATCACAAGTAGTTGAAACCGGGTATTGCCGTTATGAAACTATTTGTCTACCGTTTTATCTACATGTTTTTCTTTATTTTGTAAATTTGCTATGAATGGCTGATCTTCGACAGTCTCTTTTGAATTATTTACAACCTTTTAGACTTTGTGCGATTAGATTAAGAGCTTGACATATAAATCACAAAACCCTTTCTATTTTTAAAGACCGAATTTTATATAATAAAATATATGCAGTCTTCAATAATAGATACGGTTCTATCCTATGTGCGATAATGTCATTGTGGTTATTTGTGCTGTTGGTTTACTGATTAAACCTCTAATTTCTTTTTTATTCATATTTAGTGATATGCATATGACTGTAGCATTAAAGCAAATATGACAATGGTTAGGTAAAACGAATGCAGTGTGCTGATTTTATATAAAAATATTACGAGGTTTGAATACAATTTTGCCAAATACCACACACATTATCATTTGCACTAAATTACAACTTTTTCACAGAATATATACTGTTGTATGTTGTGTTTCACTAGACAAAAGTATTTAGACTGAAAAAAAAAAGGAAAAAAACAAAACAAAACAAAACGCTAAGACTCACTTCACCAAAAATGTAAAATTCTACTTGAAACATTTGTGGTATATTAGCACATGAATGCATTTCTTTACTGTCGACATCAAACATTAAAACTGAGAATGGAAACGGGGAATGCGCCAAAGTGACATCCCGATTAAAGAGCAGAAAACAGCCAAAAGCCACCAATGGGGTCTTCAACAAAGCGAGAAAATCCCGCACCCGGAGACGGGCTTCAGCTGGCCCCTAAACAATAATGTATACTAGTTCAACGAAAATGGACGTCACACTAAACCCCGAAACATATAAATGAACCGTACTTCCAATTGAGAGGAGCAATGACTGGCGTCCAGAATATGAACCAGCACACAGGAATTGAATCAAGTAAAAAGATAAAACTGTTCGGCTAAAGACGTGAAGCGCCATCCGTCATCAACTACCCGGCGAAATACGTAAACTACAACCCCAGAGGACAAAAACAAAAGACAGGGTATATCAGGATAGTGCCTGACGTCTGACTAGAAGAATGGGGCTGAATAGTGAAATATGAGTTTTAGATAAACATTTCTAGAGTAAAGAACATAGAGAAGTTCTCGCTCGGACACACACTCCATTATCTTGTATATTTTAACAGCATACACCTGAAGCATGGGGTTTATATTTTCATGGGTCAAATGAAAATAATGTAACTGTCGTCAATGAGCAGCAGTAGTGAATAGTCTGTCGGGTTCTGTCAGCAGCATCGTTTCTGTTCGCATATATTGATAATATTTGAGACAGTTTATCAGTCTAGGAACTGTTCATTCAACACAATGTAACACTTGCTCCATTTCAATATCTTAAAACTTGACTTATTTCTATTTTATTTTATTTTTAACTTTTCATTTATTTTGCTGATGTATTTTTGAACTCCTGAAACTTGTTCTTTTATTTTTTATTAAAACTTTTTACTTTTTCAAAGAAAAGCATGATTTCTTTCTCTCCTTAACTTACCACCCTAAAACTTGAATGAACGAACAAGAAATGCTTACTATAATATTTTACTGACAAAATATAATAATTCCAATAAGTTCTAATGCAAAAACTGAATGTCCTTCCTATCCAGTAACTTAACTTCTGAATTTAGATATCGTTTACATGACTAATGCAGTTTGGAATATCTTTGCAATAATTTAAATATAAGCTAATTATTGTGTTTTAATTAAAACAAATGTGTTGCGTCTCTTTTGCTATTGAGAACAGATGACAGATGTTCAAATTATAGTTTTGTTATTGTTGAGAATTAACAAATTCTCTATTGACAGTTGTTGTCTTGAAGTCGCTATAGGTAGGCCGTATTAAAACATTTGTCATTGTATTGTATTGTCTATAAACCCCTCTTCTTTTAAAAAAGAATTTGTATTATAGGTAATTACTGTTCTCCAACCCTTATGAGTTCTTAAAAATAAAATGTTTGCAATTAAATAACATAATAAAAAGACCAGTCCCGTCTAAAATTAGATTTTTTATTACAGAGAAATTTAACATGTGGTGTTAACAAAAGGCATGAAAGTTACTAAAAATAGACTACAAGTGCATTTCAAACATACTTTACCTGTATTATAGTTCAAATAAATGCTATCGCTTGATATTTCACTGGTATAGTATTATAAATGTGTCAGTTGAAGTAGCTGGGAAAACCTGCAGAGGACAGGTGATATCACGTTCTCCCAATATCGCAAATGATATAAAAACAAACGGCCTGTTAAATGATGTACATTGGTGGTAGTAAATCCGAACAGAACCATGATGCAAACCGTCGTCCTCCTTCTCTGTGTGGCAATTATGGGTAATGTATAATTTTTCTTACATGTACTTTGTACATTTTACGCTAGTAAAATAACGTAACATTGTGCATAATGGGATATCTTGAGCTGCAAAGGTACTTATTTGAAATGAAAGGATATAATCCTTTGATGACCTTGTTTTGATTCTGTGATATTTTGATTTTCAAAGTGCAATTTGTTTGAGTTTTTTTCTCCTTTTGTATCTCATTTGTTAGTTTCTTCGTATGTTTAGGTGCGTCCAATGACCTTTTTTATTAATCATTTGGTATCATTTTCCAATAGTGTACTGATGATAATTCCAACCAATTGACCAATTGGTACATTTATTCTATGATATTACTTGAATTATAAAACTAGCGGAAACATTACTTACGGTTTATATTTCTTTTTCGCTATGAAAGTAAGAATAACTGGGTTTATAGCTTATCAAACTTGTACACACCAAAAGGACCTCCGTAGTACTTACATGTATGTGTACAGAACACGATCTCAGTCTTGTAACTAAACATCAAAGTTGAAATTTCAGGTAATGCTAGGGACTTACAAATTTGGCAACCCGGAAAAGATCTCATGGATGAAAATAACCTGAAGGTAACTTTTAAAATCTAATAGAATTTGGCACAATTTTAACCCCATCCACAAAATCATTTATAGACAATTGTTTGATGGACTGCATTTTAAAAAAAACTTAAATTTCATTTAAGTCCTTTTGATTCTAATAGGAATATTCAAATTCAGTGAAATATTCATAATTCAGAGTCATTTGGGAAAAAGCGTATTGTACATAATTTCACAATAACGATTATTGATATTGGGGAGTTTTTTGACACTATATTAAAACCTGTACAAGAATTAACATTTTCTTTGTCTCATAACAAATAAATAAATACATATTAGATAAAAAAAAGGAAATTTTTCCTGTCAAACATTTTGTTAAAACTAAATACTTTTTAATGGCCTCCAAAATATACTATTTGACACCCAACATAATTATGGTTTAGCACTATAAAAGTATGCATGTGTGGGCTATGCTTAAATTGAAAGAAAAAAACACAACGAAAAAAATTATGCAACAACAAATATCCAGTTTTACTGCTAGCTTAATAGAAATATGCCTTTGAGTTTTACTAATGTAACAGTTATTATGTATATCTTATTTGTCATTTTAATTATTTTCATAGCATTTGACAAATACTAGTAGAATCATCCAGGGACAAAATGCAGATATTGCAGATTTTCCATGGCAGGTGTCCCTCAGAACGTCAAGTGACAGTCACACATGTGGAGGGATCATTCTTACTGATAAATGGATTCTAACAGCTGCCCACTGCACACAGTAAATATCTAAAACATTTTAAATCAGAACCTAAAGCAGTGTGGATATACTTCTTATTTCTATATCAGTATGAAAATAACCTCACGGTATCGTAGAAATATCAATTGCTTATTATGTTGACAGTTGAACAACTCATCAAATATATCAGGCTTTTAACTTTGTACGTCAGACTCGCGTTTCATCTTTGAAAATTTGAAAATAACCAGCATGCTTTTGAATATGAAACGAAAGTTTCTGGATTCAAGATATGTGGATAGTTGGTAACTGCTACGTCATATGGTCTCATGGCTTTTCATACCACATCTTCTTACTTCATATAAAAGGTCTTTGCAACATTTTGAAATATGATATTTGTTTATTTTATTTTTTGGAGCGATCATGTACAGTAACTGCATGCTTGTCTATCATATCACATCTTCTTATATCATATTGGAGGTCTTCGTAACATTTTGAAATATAATATTTGCTTACTTTATTAATGGGGCGTTCTTGTACAGTAACTGCATGCATGCTTAGCATATTAATTTATGATAAAGTAAGATATACTGTAAGATATCTTAAACCTGCATATTTCATTAATTTTTCAGAGGTTCAGGATACACAATAAGAGTAGGAAACACTAACCGAAACAACGGTGAAAGATATCAAGTTAGAAGAGTAATTAATGTGAGTATATTACACTTGGTGTGAACATTGCGTTGAAAGTGATGGTTCGAATAAAATTTCTATTGGTCTTATTTTATTTACATATGTTCATTAGAGAATCGACTCCTTATGACTAGAAAGAAAATCTGCGGCAATCGAGTTATGGATTAACATTTTTTGCGTAACGCTGCAAGCAAAACAATGTTTTCCACTCTTGACACAAACAATTAAAAATCGTTTTTTCCTGCTGTTCTACATCTTAAAGTCATACTGAAGTCTTTAATACAACACAAATTGTCTAGCTGTACATCTAACTGTATGTCCGTAGTGTTGATTTGTACCGAATTCTTTGCTATATATCGATACTTTTAGATTTGTACTACTCTGGTAAGAAATCATTTTCTCCAATGGGCGTTTACCGATGTTGTGAAGTTTGAAATAAGACTCAAATATTGTTTTAACATTCACATTAGAATGATGGCAGCGGGACAATTACCAACGATTAATACTCTATAGAATTAGTTTTACCACTTGCAAATATCGTTTTAGCATGCAAATTACAATGATGGCAGCGGGACAATTGCCAACGACATATCCTTGATAGAGTTGAGTTCATCACTGGCATTTGGTTCAACAGTTGCACCAATATCCCTCCCACCTGCAGGACAACTATTCGAGAGTGCATCTTGTGTAATCACTGGATGGGGAAGAACATGTGGAACATGTAAGTGTGTTTATTTTTTTTGTTTATTGATTGAGTGTTGGTGTTTAACGTCACTTTCAACCCTAAGTTGGTATGTTTTTATTGTCGGACGTAACAGGGTTGACCAGAGACGACCAACGACTGCGTCCGGGAAACTGACAAAGAATCGAACTCACCTGACAGGTGCCACGTGCAGGGTTTAAACTTATTACTTCATAGTTGACAGGCTACTCGGACCACTCAGCCACCGATGACCCTTTTTTAATTTGTTTATCGAAGAACAAACGCTGGTTGATTCATTGAATAATTATGCTATTTAATGTTAAGTAATACTGATAAAAATGACATATGAAATACTATATGAATCAACTATTTGAATCCTTTTACATTGCTTTGATTAATACTTATATGTATTTGTCTTAAGGAATACACAACACTAACTGCGTCAATAAGTAAAATTTTGAAACGTAATATGGGCAAAAAATATCAAAATCATTTGAAACGAGTGAATGAAACATTTTCTTCTTCTTTTAGCATAGAGACTGCAATCATTGGCCACCCATTTATTTATTGCCAACTAAACGTCGAATATGTTTTTTTGTACGGTCCTTGTCTAAAGTACAAACGGCAATTGAAACGCATATGAGTCAACAGGACAATAATTTGATAAAGCTACTATGTTACCTTAGATAAATTTGGCTATTATTCTGAGATCCTTTATGATCATATATCTTCTGGCGTTTTGGCTTATTTACACATTACTGGTTTTCAAATGTTAAGGGTAATGCGTGCCTGAAAAGCGCTTCGGAAACATGAAATTTTTAAAGTGTTATTTTTAACTACGTCAGAGTGATTTGAACCTTTTTTTTATCAATTGATAAAATTTATATTCATATCTTTCATTCAACTTTATTTAGGTGGTTTACCAACTATCCTACAGAAACTTAACACACTGGCCCTTCGTAATACCGAGTGTGCAAATTACATGTCACCAATAAGTGGAGTGAACCTCATGTCAAGTCATATCTGTGTTCACAACCAAAACAGCAACCCCCAGGACGGTGCCTGTAACGTAAGTCTCTAGTTATACATAATAATAACACAAAAATCAGTTACCACAAATAAATAAAGACAATAATTACTAAATACATAAATAAATGGATTCATAGATGAATGAGAAAAATTAAATGATGAGGATAATATTGTCAAAATAATTCACAATACAGCGGGGATTTTTGGACAGTGACCGGATTGTTTTTAAATATCTCTTACAAGAAATATTATCGCTATATTAATGTCATTACTGTACATTTTGAATAATGTTCTGAACACACGAAGCAATCATTCTAATGTTATTTTAATATGTCAACAAAGTTTGGTTTATCAATACCTTCATTTGTATCAATAAGGAGATGCAGTATGAGTGCCAATGAGACAGCTACCAATCAGTTCAAATAAAGTGGAAATAAGCAATTATAGGCAACCATACAGCCTTTAAAAATAAAAAAAAACACCTTAAAGTCAGCTGTAAAATGCCCCGACATGAAAAATGTGAACAATTCTATAGAGAATACTAGCTGCCAACTTCAGAACAAATTTAGGTCAAATTTATGTTCCGTTGACATTTTTATATGATTCGTCAGTTTTCATTTCTAACAATAAATCAGTCAAATAATAATCAATCATATTTTCATTCGTTTAAATCAGAGTAATGCCTTCCATTTAAATCAATGTAATTTTTAAAAGACAATTTTTGCTTTGCTCATTGTTGAAGGCCGTACGGTGATCTATAGTTGTTATTTTCCGTGTCATTTGGTCTCTTATGAAGATTGTTTCATTGGCAATCATACCACATCTTCTTTTTAATAAAAACAAGAAAAACAAAATGATGATATTTTTTATATTTCAGGGTGACAGTGGTGGTCCCATGACATGTACAGTAAGTGGTCAGACGTACGTGGCTGGTGTGACATCTTGGGTTATATCTTCTCAGTCTACAGGATGTCTGCCTGATTACCCTAGTGTGTATACACGGGTAACATCATTCCTCTCATGGATTAGACTCTACGTGTCGGGTGTTTGATACCTTGAAATCAATACGCAATAAAATATTCCCGAACATTTATTGCTTTCTCTTAATTCTACTTACTTTAAATGATTTTACAATTGTTTCTCTTGGAAACAGATAGTGTATTTTTTGTTGTTGAATATATCATTTTCATTTAACTTTTTAATTGCCAAATTTTTGAATCTAAAACTACGAAGTGACTCTCAATTTAATCTTGTCACATATAAGACAATAGTAAATTACAAAAATATCCACGGAAAATTCAAAACGGAAACACACTTATTAAAATGCAAAATCAAAAGCTGAAAAGCATAAAACGAATGGAAAACAACTGTCAAAATCCTGACTTGGTATAGCATTTCATTATGTAGAAAATGAGATAGACAACCACCTTCTCTTTTAGGCGAGTGACTTATTTCAAAAAGACGCTTAGTTAACGACTTTAATGCACCCACCTAACACACGGCTGTATTATATATCATTCGAAAGCTAATAATCTGTACTTTCTGGTTTGTCCGGTCGTAAAAAAATCGTACGGTGCATTTTCTGTTAAATCAAGGTCAAAGGTCATGAAAAAACATTCCAATTTGCGATTAATAAACAAAAAGCCATTTTCTAATTCTTGTACCATAAAATTTTTCAAAAGATCATATGAACTTTATATAACATAATACATTATTTCCAAATCAAACAAAAAATAAGAGGTTATATGCGCAATATTTCCCGAAAATTGAAATTCATCCCAAATCCTAAAAAAATGAAAAATTGTTCCAAAAGCAAAATATATCTTGGGGGATCGATATTTGTATGCTAAAAAAATAGATAAATAATATGTTTTAGGTCAAGGAATATTTGTTTTGTAATTTTAAGATGCAATTATTAATTATTGTTCATAGAACAGCCTTCTGTTGAAGTGTTTTCAGTTGCCCAAAAATCTGCCATCTGCAAATAGCGATCATGTTGTTATTCTATGTTAAGATAGCACATCGCTAATTGTCAATATCAGGGAGGAGAATGATTTTCAATAATAAAAGAAGGGGTATTTAAAGTTCGTAAAGAATATATACGAGCTAATTGAGGTAAAAATATGTTTTTTACGAAGTCAAACTTATTTACCCTTTTTAATCATGTTTAAATGCAAACATGACTTTGCGACTAAATCGTAGACAACATTGAAATAAGTAACCTTATTTAGAAACACTTGGTTGTCTAAAGCGGTATGTAAACGAACTACATATAATGCTGCTGCTTCTTATTTAGTTTAAAATCGTGTTAGACATATTAAATGTGTTTAGAAGTTAAACTTTAATCTCTTTATTTATTTGAATAAAAGATGCTTCTATATATCTTTATTCTCACAAACCAAATTTCAAAGGTAAAGAGATAGGATTGAGTGTTTTCAACATAAGCTTTTAAAATTCAAATGCAGGTCATTGTGTATGTAAAACACTATAAGCAGTTGTGAAATAAAAAAATGAAAAAGTTGAGTACCTTCCTGACCTCATAAAATCGTTTTCTTGCTGTGCTGTGTTTTGTGGACTGTTGTTCGTCTCTTGGACTTTAATTTTATTTTGTTCATGGTTTGAATTAAGTTTATTTGATTCATGGTTTGAGATGGTGATTGTCCCTTTGGTATTATTTCACTTTAAAGATATTAACTTGCAGTAATGAAAATCGGCAAAAAAATCGCATCAAAGTAAAGTAAAGAAGATTAACGCAATAAGACAAATATCCGCGAAAATAACTTAATTTGCTCACGGTGATATATATATAGAACCAAATCGTTATCATGATACATTTAACTACAATGATCTACAATTTTTAAAACTTTTACTACTTGAAGAGTGACGAAATATATCAAAGGGACAGCAAACTTATAATTGAAAACGAACTGACAAAGCCGGGCAAAAAACGAACAAGACAAGCAACAGTATACAAAACACAACATATAAAACTACAGATTGAGTAACACAAACCCCCCAAAAATATTTGGGGTGAACTCAGGGGCTCCAAAAAGGTGAACAGATCATGTTCCACATGTGACACCTCTCTTGTGGCTCGTGTAATTCCTACCTCGGTGCCAAGCCTTATTCGGTAGGTGACATTCAAGGCAGAAATGACGGTATTTTGGTTACGTCGATTGGAACCTTTCCATGTTATCAGTCGTCATCTGGTAAAACAGATATTTCATAATTGTCAACCAACTCGTAGTGGCGTCCATAAAATTTTTAAAGGGATGATTTCAACTTTGCATTTGAACTCTGGTTTAAAACCATGTTCAAACCACCATTTTTCTTCAAATGTCCTGTACCAAGTCAGGCATATGGCAGTTGGTATCGAATAATCTCTTTCTTTGTATGTTAATGTTTGTTTTTGTAGCAGTTCAGTGTTTCTGTTATTCCGTTGTGTTCCTCTTATAGTTGATGCGTTTCCCACGGTTTTGGTTTGTGACCCGGATTTGTTTCAGTAACTAGTAAATCGATTGATGACTATTGAATAGCGGTATACTATAGTTGCCTTTATTTAATATCTTCATTGTGAGCAGTAACGCACTATCACGACAATCGTGAAAGTAAATACAAGCTCTGGAATATTGTATCAACTTGGAGATATATATTCCACAAGAAGATGCCGCGAAATCGCGTTACAATTGGGCAAGTGTTTAAATACAGAGTTTTATTTAATGTTGCGGGCAGAACGTCGACTGAGCATTCTCAATTTTAAAGACAAATTTAGGAAATGCAAAACCCTACATTTATACGTCATATCATAAATATTCCGACTTGTTATTGTTTCCGAGGAGTTGAGGCTCAATGAAATCGGTCTCCTCCTTTAATAGTATAGATATGCAGTGTTGCTATAATGTTGCTACATAGAAATGAAAAGTTTATTATTGGTTAGTAAGGAGTGTTTTTATGGGTTCACCGTAGATTTATGCTCATCTCTTTTATCGTAAAACTTGTTCTCAACCAACCCTCATCGTCGATGTCAAGATAAGTGGTAGAGTAAACTATATCTGTTGAGTCTTTTTTTTTAAATTTCAATGGAAAATACGAGTCCAACACTGTGACAAATTTGGCACTATACAGCGAGATGACATCATCTATATAGTGGAAAGTGAAGTTTCAAGATAATAGTAGCTTCTTTTCAGTCGTCATCAGAAGCTCTTGCATGAAGTCATCCTCGTATGAAAAATAAACTAGTCAATCAAGCTATTCAGAAAGTCTAGTTGTAACTAGAATCGTTGCGTATTAACGGATTTTTTTCTTCAAAATTATTCTTATTCGATGAATTAATGCATTTAAACAATGAACAACGCAATTTAAGCAATCAAGAAGTCAAGTTTTATAATGTGTTTACTGGTTTTTAAATTCTTTTAAATTTCAATTTTCATCAATTTATTTTTTATTTATTTTTGTCTAAATTTTCAATTTATTTTTTAAGGTTCACATTAAATAAATAAAAGGTCTTTTCACTACATCAATATTTATAATGAAGCTACAAATCAAACAATTAGAAAAGTCAAAAGATGTTTATTTCAGTCTGGTAGTTACAATGCAGATTGCAATCTCTTAGTTTCGCCCCTTTTATTTCAAGCAATAGTATGATTCGCACACATATTTTTTTACTTTAAATTTTTCAGATTCTTAAGAATGTGTTTATTTAATCTTATATTGAACAAATACAATGTTTATATAGGAAGAAATGCTTAAAAGCTGTTTTTTTCGCAGATGGCGGTATTTTGGGCAACTGCATGAGTTGTTATGATTTGCTGTTTGATTAGAAGTAAGCATAATTTTAGGAAATTTATGATGTCAAAAACTTCTTTGATAGTTATTACAAGGTTTTACTTAGTTTTAAGTGATTAGCAGTTGCATCAGAAAGAAAAAATTGGGTTTTCACACATTTTGTTAACTTTTTCTCGAACTTCAGGAAACATGTGCTGTCAATCAAAACACGTTTTAAATATTTTAAAATGCATTTGATTAATGACCGTTAATCTCTCTGCTAAAAGTTTAAATGGTTTGCATATGTGAATTTAGTATATAAAAGTCATATTATGCAATCAAGCTGAAATCTTAGAAAATATGCACTTATTCGTCCTTGGCCTTTGATCTTGATTTGACGGAAATTGCACCGTACGATTTTTTTACGACCGGGCAAAACAGATAGTACAGATGTGTAGCTTTCAAATGATATATAATTTAGCCGTGTGTTAGGTGGGTGCATTAAAAATGTAATTTTATGGTTAAAGTCACTCGCCTATTTCTGTTGATTTGAATCAAAAGTTAAGATATACCTCATCTGGTTAAAATGTGAACGAAACATTGTGTGTCATCATATCTAATTATATAATGACATTAAAATCATATGCAATATTCGTGCAACTTCATGTGCCAAATGTATGTGTGAATGTTTATATCAGATTTCCGTCGCAAACGAAGCAACTCAAACCATACCTTAGCATCTTTGGTGACTCGGATGTAAGGAGAGAATATACGCTCAACAACTCATGACAAAAACATTATTACAGCTTGTTTCAATGACTTTTAACAATTATTGTGTGAGAAGGCAAATATTTTGTTCAGTGATTTTTTTCAAAATAAAAAGTACTTCAGCGCGATTAAAAAACACAACGCATTTATCGAATTAAACACTAGCATTATTTAAATATGTCATAAGGACAATCAGCATTGACATTATGTTTTCTGCTTGTTGTTGGTAGCTTCGTGGTTGTTTAGGGATATGGGAAATAGGGTTGTCCTTTTTGATTTAACTATTTCTGATTCATTTCCGTGATCGTTTATTCTAAAGAACAATAACTGTTGTAGCTTACTCTTTTATTTCAATTATTAACCCCTCTTTGTTGTCATATCGTCGTCAAACTAAGTCATAAAATCATTTCTTGTTGTGAATTTGAGAGAAGTTTTATTGGATGATATATATTCCGGGAAGTGGGTATTCTTTTTCACAGGTGAAAATACTTTTGAAAAAACTAAAAACCAGTGAATAGCCCGAATAACCTCATAGAAGAAATCCAGATCAAAGTTGTTATCTTTTTAACATTCGTAGTGTTAAATTCATAGCATTTTTTAATGAATCAAAACTAGATACTTTGACTGCGATTTGGACACAAGACAGTATTAATGCTTTGTCCTGATTAACATTAATTGCTATAAAGATGATGATAACGTGAGATTAATTAATCCTCATTTTTAGATTAAACTTGAGCCTTTTGGAAAAGGGTGATTTTTATCTCGCCTGCGACGAAAATCGCGAAAAGCGACACATATGTTAATTAGCTATTTTTAATGTAAACTTTTCTGCTTAAGTCAGTTTGATAAGAACTGCTAGTGATAGATCAATGATAATGTCTAAAACGTTGCTTTACTATCAGTACATATCCGTTTTGTCATTTCATGAACTCAAAATGGAGCAGCTTTAGTTTCGGTGGTATCTGTTATAGCCAGGTGACCGAGATAGACGAGACGTACGCACACACACACAAATATGGAATATTGAGTGAGAGAACAACATCATTTTACCGATATCTGAAAGTGAAATCTTTGAAAGATGCTTTTATTTTTGTTTTATGAATTTTGTTTTGCATTTTAGTTCATATGAGTGCAAAAATCAGCTAAAAGGTGTACAAAATAAGCACTTACTTGAATACCACCTGTAATTGAATTCTCAATCCACCAAACTAGTTTTTAGTGGGGTTCGTGTTGCTTAGTCTTTAGTTTTCTATGTTGTGTCATCTGTACTATTATTTGTCTGTTTGTCTTTTTATTTTTGGCCATGGCGTTGTCAGTTTGTTTTGGATCTATGAGTTTGACTGTCCCTCTGGTATCTTTCGTCCCTCTTTCAAAACATATTATTACAATAAAAAAAGTTCTGCCTTTTGGTGATCTCCTCTGTGGTGTATTTGTTGTTCGAATCAGTTTCATTTTGCACAAACTAAGATTTATCGCGACTTAAATCACGAAACTTGTATCTACTAATCTCAGTATTTTTGATAAACAGCACTGCTCAAAGAGAAGATGTAGTTCATTCTTCAAATGAAAATGAGGAATAGTAGTGTAAGGTGAAGAAAAAACTGAAGTTTTGATAATATTGCAAAATTAAAGTGATTCGGATTTAATATTATTGAGTTGGCCTTTAAAATTTTTAAGAATCCACATTCGATTGGCACCACTGGCTGAGTTGAATTCGTTGCAATATATTTGAAGACCATCTTGTACTGGAGAAAAATAACTGGTAGTAAGAATTTTTAAGCGATGTCCCGTCAAATATCTAAACGAGTTGGCTATATATCGTTCTTTTATGTGAATGTTTTGTTATCCAGTGTAAAAAAAGGGAAATTGCCATCGTCCTTTTTAATGCCAATACCATATAATACAGTCAAGTACACTGAAGTCAACTTTCCTAGTTGCAGTTGCTACCTCAGTGTGTGCTATATGATCTTCACATAACTAGAAGGAACTTACGGATAATATCAAGGACACATTAAAAACTCATCAATCGAGAGAAACTGACAATGCCACAGCAAACATTACAACGAAAGACAAACAAGTTCACACAACACTACATAAAAAACTAACGACTAAACACCACGAACCATACAATACAATAGGTTGCTCTGGAATGGTAGGCAAATCATGTTCAATATGTAGCACTTATTGTGCTACTCATGGCAAGTACAAAGTCTGCGATAAGCCTCATTTGTAGAAAATAACTGTCACAATTTATTATTTAATTCCCGCCATATCCTACCGATTCAATTGTATAAATTGAAATATTTTTCAAACGACAGAATGTTGCAGGAATAACTTTTAGTTAGCACCAAAAGCCTGATACTCAGACAAAATGTCAAACAATTGACGCTTTAAGAGTTTACATATTTCTATTTTTGACTTTTTTTCAGTATTCGAGATCCTCGAGTTTTATCCATATAGTGACAATAAAAAATTGTCCGTTAACTCCTACTTTTCTTTGCATAATTATATTAAATATAAAAGCTATTGCTGGTATAACACACGTGGTTAAGATATATTCTGATGGCAATATTTCTATCTATTTCTATTATATTCGGTCTCATATACATGGTACACCTTCCGTTTGATTACATATGAATAAATCATTTTCATAGTAACCTACATTTCCAACAAGAGGAGTGCTTGGCTTGTTTATTGAATAATGCTGATAATATAAACCTCCTTGTACACGACTGTTTGGTTATACATTCATTTTTGCAAGTTACAATTATCAATTGACTGTAACCTTATGTAATTAGAAAATACAATTACAGTGTATAATAAAATAACCTCTTTAGCCTGTTATTTTTGAAAATTAATATCATGCTTATATTTGTTTGGCTGTCTTAAACTCGATTCCCTCTTGATATCCATATGCATCATTGAATGCGTTTCCGTACACCCAAAGACCAAACGGGATATTACTAACATGTGTCATATTATGTTCACCACTTGTAATTGGTCTTGAAAAGGAGCTATAGGTACCAGATGCAGCAGATACTGTGAAGACGCTATCGATAGTAACATTTTGGTGATCTAACATAAATCCATTCAGTTCTTTAGTTAGGGCAGTGATACTAATAAAGCTTGTGAACCCTTTTGACACAACGGAAACGTAATTAGAGAGATATTGGTTTACGCCATGTATAGTCATCATGAAAGCATCCCCTTTACTATGTCCTACCTTATGTGGATATATCATAACAGATATATCATTTGTAGCATTAGCATATGATATTGTGATGTGAGTAAACCCAAGAATATCCTGTGCTGCATTTTGTTTCACCAAAACGTTATTAGTTGTGTTTTTTTTATAGTAATTGACGAAGCACTTAAACTCAACAATCGAACCGTGCTTGTGGCACGAGTTTCAATGTGTGGAACTCTATATATCTTATCTAGCTGTTCAACTGGTAAAACCATTTGAATAAAAGTACTGCATCCGCCATGACCAGTTATATAGTTACACTTGTTACCACTAACAACAGCTAAAGGACTTGAGCTGCTTATAAATGTGCCTGTCAAATCAGAAGAGTGTGAAATTTCTAAAGTGTCGTACTAATTGATGACTGCCGTGATATATTCACCAGATGAATATTGTCGGTTTTTGAAAGTTACAAACCCAGATTCAGTCTTTATATGAATATTCACGATTGTAGAATTTTCAATAGGAGTCAAGGCAGCAATTAAACTATTCCCATAGGTATTATATGGTTTGAATGACGGAATGTTATATTTTCTTGAAAGAAAATTGATAGGGATTGCTAGGTATACTATACTAGTATAGCTATTGTAGCTCAATCCAAAAACAGATGTTTGTTTTTTTCCTTGAAGTTCTAAACCGGCATGTTTTATTTCATCGGTCATATATACATTGTGATTAAGTGCAAATTTGTTCTGGTTCGGCAGGAGACTCAAAGATTCATTCATGTTGTTACCGAATGTATATGCGGTGTACATTCCACCGTTATTTGTTGTCACCAGTGCCTTTGCTGTGGCATATTCAAAAAGCAATCCTTCCGTAAAAAGAAGAAAAAATGATTCCCTTTGGATTCTGAAATGGACATACCGTGATGTGAGACTTACAATGCCAGAAAATACACTTTGCATTCAAATGAAGCATCCTATCAAACGCATTTACAAATAAAAATCAATCAAATGAAACAGTTTACTTACTTGAAAATTATTGAATGGTTGGTTGACTAAGAAGTCCTATCACTGCCATCAAATATAAATCATACCCTAGGTGAAACGTTATCTTCAGCTACAATTTTATTGAACTAAAGATACATTGATTTTATTACAGTAAGGAATCTTAAGCATTTATCTTAGAATATAGCAAGTACCAAGTTGAGTAATGTATGTGAGTTGTATAACGTATTCCCTATACTAAACAACGCATATAGTCTTAACATAATTCCGACTCAGTGCCAATTATTAATAGGTCAATTTCAAGTTGAACCTATCTTGAGGTACTGCGCAATAACATCAATTATTATGTACAGTTTTTCATACATGTAGACTGTGGTAAATGTACGTTACCTTGATATAGACACTTTCCTGTAGTCAATTAAGAACTGTTCCGTTTATTTAAAATTATCGGCAATTTGTACATTTTCCCTTTGATCATACTGCCTATAGTACAGCAACGTCAAATGCTCAAATCCATCTGAGTCAATTTATCAATGAAATGAACGCGACTTCATTCATACAACCAAACAACAATCTCAACATTTTGTACGCGTAAAAGTAGTTTTACTAACTATTTCATTTATTTCATATTCTCAATAATAAAAAAAAAAACAGTTTACACAAATTGCCGATAAAAAAATACTTGCATTTTATTTTTGTTACTGACTTCATCAGCTCTAATACTAGCTCGACATAGCAGGCTCGCCTGATTTTCTTGATGATAAAGTCAGTATCAAAAACAAAAATGCCGTTATTCTATATGTATTCAGTACTTGTGCAAAAAAATTAAAATAATAATACTAAATGGTCTTTAAACATCTGAACATTTGAAGTTGACTGGAAACTTTTACTTTACCACAGGGATGTAAAAAAAAGATTGAAAAGTTAAAAACCCTGTATATCATTGAGAACAAATTTGAAATGATTGACAGATAAATATGGTCTTTTAATACACTAATTATTTACAGGGTAAACGTATTTACACATAGTTACTTGAAGTTACCCTATATAAGGGATAGATTTATGGTAATGAACTGCTCTTGAGAAAGAGTATTGATGAGAAATTGAATTGTCTGATACACAACTTGATATGCGTGAATTACTGAGGAACATGTAATTACAATAAATACAAGTTAAAAAAAAGTAGCAGAATCCTGTCTATAGATCAATATTTTATCCCATAAAGCACTTCTCATTTAAACTTGTTATCGTCCGGGTTGATTCTTAAAACCTGACCTATCATTCTCCATATAGGTATATAAGTCAAAGTAGTTATGATACCAATAAGACAAATCCCTCTATTGTATTTGCGCACTTACAAGAAAAACAGTATTATGCTGTCTACGGTTTTCTTTTAACCCATGCTTGTATGAGCTAATATACTCTAAAGTGTCAATTTTTCTTATAATGTGTGTAAATAATTCTTTTTCATAAATCAGTAAGAAAGTAAATCATCGATCCTGTATTCGCCATTCAGGAACTCTAAAGATTGAAGTCGGTATGCATGCATATTTGAAAATTGGACATAAGCATTTTTAAAAGGTTTGGAGCCTGCATTTCTATATGCACAAAATAAGAAAAAATAAAGAGATTTATGATTTACTCCTAAAAGATAGTAACCAAACGAGACACACATACAAAAACAAAATACATATTGGTTAATATACGGTCTTTAAAAACACTGTTTATCTTTCATTTAAATCATTTCCATTCGATTTGCTGAGGTTTAACGTCTGTAAAATAGCGACGGTAAAAGTTCGACATCGAAATATTAAGGTAGCAGGTCAATATAGTTTGGAAATACAACAAAAATGTTTCTTTTTTCGGTAATTGTCGGCATGGATAACTAGAGAGGAATGCATACCAATAAGAATATCATTCACAAGCTTTATAGGAGAACAAAACGAGATACAATGTAGAACCAGGTTGCTCACGCTAGGGTCATTTAAAAAAATGAAATCTCTACTGATATTCACAGTATGAAAGCTGAATGTTTGTACTTATACTGGGAATATAGCAACATTAGGGCGTATTTCCAAACATGTAATCTTCTTTAATATATGCTTGTGGGTGATCCAAACAAACAAAAATGTGTTAGATTTCTGTTCAATCAAAGTAAAAGGAGAGAACTTTCTGAACAAAAATCAAAAAGTCTATCAAAAGCAAAGTATAGTCTTGTCTTTAAAATATTAATTGCCTACATTTAATTTCTTTTGATACAAAATTCGTCAAAAACTGTCGATATCGAACACAGCAATAACATATTTGAAGAATTGTACTCCTATATAATGTTCTTGTAAATTGCTTTGTACATCTTATAGAAAAGCTGTCAAAACTTGTCTGCTGAGGATTAAAAAAAAAATTCAGTTATTACTTTTGCCGAAGCCTCTGTAATTAAAATTATCCTGACAAAGATATTCATTATTTTGCTCAACGAACCGACGTTGGTTGTATGTCAATTAAACGCAAATATGACGTAATACTACATCATCTGAAACCAAATACTTTGATGGAAAGAGTTCAGTTGAAATCGAGCGTATTATCAGTGGCTTTTATTTTGGTCCTTTTGTGATTATGCTGAAACAGGTGCAAAAGAATGACAGTTAAATACCTTTTCATGACTCATTCACGGTACAATTTAAAAAATCAAACCGGGTCAAAGTAGCCAACTTGACATAAATTTTAAAATGACATTTATCTGAGAAGTATTTCATAAGTAAAACATATCAGAATTCAATTGACAGTGGATTTAAAAAAAATAACTATAGTTAGAACACTTGATTGAGCTTAGAGTTAAAGATTGATAAATGGCAATCATTATCATTAATGATACATGTATAGAAACAAACACACTATAATTTTTATTTCTTTGATGACACAAAATTGATGATCAGCACGACACAAAAAATATATTTAGATTTTTAGTGCAAAGGAATTAATTCTAATTTGTTTATTATTTAAACCAACCTTTTCTATTTAATGTTAATTTGTTCTCGTCCTCAGCATGCATAAAACTTTTTCGACTGGTGGGTAAGCAAACTCCAATTAATTAATCAATATATGTATACCTGAATACTGGCAAGTGTCCCCGTAAAAGCCATCTGTGCAATTACACAAGAACGCGTTGTCTTGTTTTTGGGTTAGGCATGTCGCTCCATTTAGACATGGTGACTGCATACTACATACATCTGTAATAAGTGGATCACAGTTTTTTTGATAATTTACTTTAACGCACATACTGAAAACTTCTGTATCTATGTTATAGATTTATACTCCACCATAATTGTAATGATTTAGTGAATTGTTTCGTATTGCGTCATCTGTGAATTTTGTTAAACTGCATAGTTCAGTAATGACACGTTTTTCTCTCTCTTGTATCATCGTTTGAATACTATTGTCAAAGAAAATCTTTCGCTCTACCTTGATTAAAAAGTAAAATCACCAAAATACCGAACTCCGAGGAAAATGCTTTTTAATGTTGTTGTATTATTTGCTGTATTTTTGTCTAGCAAACACACACAGTATCGTTGTCTGTCACACTCTTTAAGTATTAGTGGTAAAAAAATCCGTATTTGATCATGATGCAAGTCTTATACAATTTAGCAAAATATATTTAAATATAAAAGGACCTGCACTAGAAATGTTTATTCAGATAAAAATGCTGACATCCGATTTCAAATCACCCCCCCCCCCCTCCCCCCCAAAAAAAAAACACAAAAAAAAAAATTACTAAACAGCATTATCATTATTATTTTGTTTCCCTAGTATGACAGATATCATCAAGACTGTTTCTTAACAGACCTAAAAAAAATCATAAATAGGAGAAATCAGATTGTAAAGACATCCTGAAATCGTTTTCAGTTATCGCAGAAGAAAATGAAATCATATTTCATTGATATTTCAAGGTCTCGTACTATTTGTACTAATTAAATGTTTTAATCAAGCAACATTCAATGAAACATAAATATGTATTTATGACTTTGATATAACTCAGTGCAGATGTTACGTCTTCTTCATAATCAGGTTGCAATTTTGAA